CCCTAAAATAAAGTGTTACCGAAGTCACTTTTGATCAATGTAATGCATCCCTGCTCAATAAACGTATTAATTTCTTTTAAAAAAATAACACCTTTTAAAAGAAATTACAGAAGCAGAATGGGTTTAAATGCTGTTTTGGTTTGAGCTGAAAGAGTTGAGCCGCTCATCAGTGCGGGTGTGTGTTAGCTGGGCTTTCAGCAGTCAGTGCAGCTGGTTTGATCTCAGTTTCTCACAGAGATTTAAAGTAGCTGCTCTTTAGCACCTTGCCAGAACACTCCTGCCTCTACCTGAGAAACCTGCTCGCACGCTTAACAGTAACAACCTGCCATCTGTCTCTCACTCAGTACATCCTCAGAGCAGCGACACACATGGACACAGTCTGGTTTGTCTGCTAACACGCTGAGAAAGCCGCTGCAGTGTGAAAATGAGTTTGTCTGGTCTGTGTGTCGTCTGATATGCCACATCGGACTCAGTTATTGCAGTCAACTGACCTAAAACAGAACATGCATGACATTTCAACCTTCACAACTTTTATCCAAGTGTCTAAAACATTTTGGGGTCACTGTATGTGCCTCTGTATCTTATGATGAAAGTTTTCTTTGTTAACAGACCGAGAAAGGCAGTGCCCTTCATGAAGCAGCTCTATTTGGAAAGACAGAAGTAGTACAAAAACTACTCAACGCAGGTCAAAATAAACTCAAATGCAGAAATTACAAATGGTTGGACTACAGAAATTGTACCCAGGACGCTCTGTGCGATTGTTTTCCAGGTATTGATGTGAATATCATGGACAGTAAGAGTCTAACAGCGCTGGACACTGTTAGAGACATGCCCTCTCAAAAGAGTCGACAGATCGCCGCCCTCATACAAGGTACGTCTGGACCAGATATCACACACACATCTCTGAATTCTCCTCAGGTCATCGTTTTCACTCCTGTCTTCTCTCTAAAGCTCATATGAGCGTCCGTCCGTCAGACACGAGCCTCCCTCCTCCACCAGTGCCTCCACCTCAAGAGAGCCTGAGCCCCAAGAGAAAAGGTCAGAGAAACACTCGAAAAACTCCACTCAATGAAATATCTCAAACTTAAAATATTAGGTACAAGCTATTAAATCATTTAAATATAACTTATGAAAATTCAAGTTCAATTTTAAAGTTAAGAATTAAATTGCATTTAGTACCATAACAAATAAAAGTGAGTACACTTTAAAACCCAATGATTTAACTCTAATTATTTGAGGTATCGGATAAAAAAAAAAAAAAACATTATTCATGAGTAATATGAACTTATTTATTTGAATCCAATAAAACAAGATGACGCTTAACTAGTAGCTAGCAGTAGTGCACACACACTCTCTCTCTCTCTCTCTCTCTCTCACACACACTCAC